GTGTCCTAAAAAAGTATAAATAATATCATACTAAGGTATGTGTCCTAAAAATGTATAAATAATATCATACTAAGGTATGTGTCCTAAAAATGTATAAATAATATCATACTATAGTATGTGTCCTAAAAATGTATAAATAATATCATACTTTAGTATGTGTCCAAAAAATGTAAAAATAATATCATACTTTAGTATGTGTCCAAAAAATGTAAAAATAATATCATACTATAGTATGTGTCCTAAAAATGTAAAAATAATATCATACAATAGTATGTGTCCTAAAAAATGTAAAAATAATTTCATACTATAGTATGTGTCCTAAAAATGTATAAATAATATCATACTACAGTATGTGTCCTAAAAATGTATAAATAATATCATACTAAGGTATGTGTCCTAAAAATGTATAAATAATATTATACTATAGTATGTGTCCTAAAAATATATAAATAATATCATACTAAGGTATGTGTCCTAAAATTGTATAAATAATATCATACTGTAGTATGTGTCCAAAAAATGTAAAAATAATATCCAACTATACTATGTGTCCTAAAAATGTATAAATAATATCATAATATAGTATGTGTCCTAAAAAATGTAAAAATGATTGCATACTATAGTATTTGTCCTAAAAATGTATAAATAATGTAATACTAAGGTATGTGTCCTAAAAATGTATAAATAATATCATACTAAGGTAAGTGTCCTAAAAATGTATAAATAATATCATACTATAGTATGTGTCCTAAAAATGTATAAATAATATCATACTAAGGTATGTGTCCAAAAAATGTAAAAATAATATCATACTATAGTATGTGTCGTAAAAATGTATAAATAATATCATACTGTAGTATGTGTCCAAAAAATGTAAAAATAATATCAAACTATACTATGTGTCCTAAAAATGTATAAATAATATCATAATATAGTATGTGTCCTAAAAATGTAAAAATAATTGCATACTATAGTATTCGTCCTAAAATGTATAAATAATATAATACTAAGGTATGTGTCCTAAAAATGTATAAATAATATCATACTAAGGTATGTGTCCTAAAAATGTATAAATAATATCATACTAAGGTATGTGTCCTAAAAATTTATAAATAATATCATACTATAGTATGTGTCCTAAAAATGTATAAATAATATCAGACTACAGTATGTGTCCTAAAAATGTATAAATAATATCATACTAAGGTATGTGTCCTATAAATGTATAAATAATATCATACTATAGTATGTGTCCTAAAAAATGTTTAAAAAATTGCATACTATACTATGTGTCCTAAAAAAGTATAAATAATATCATACTAAGGTATGTGTCCTAAAAATGTATAAATAATATCATACAAAGGTATGTGTCCTAAAAATGTATAAATAATATCATACTATAGTATGTGTCCTAAAAATGTATAAATAATATCATACTTTAGTATGTGTCCAAAAAATGTAAAAATAATATCATACTTTAGTATGTGTCCAAAAAATGTAAAAATAATATCATACTATAGTATGTGTCCTAAAAATGTAAAAATAATATCATACAATAGTATGTGTCCTAAAAAATGTAAAAATAATTTCATACTATAGTATGTGTCCTAAAAATGTATAAATAATATCATACTACAGTATGTGTCCTAAAAATGTATAAATAATATCATACTAAGGTATGTGTCCTAAAAATGTATAAATAATATTATACCATAGTATGTGTCCTAAAAATATATAAATAATATCATACTAAGGTATGTGTCCTAAAAATGTATAAATAATATCATACTGTAGTATGTGTCCAAAAAATGTAAAAATAATATCCAACTATACTATGTGTCCTAAAAATGTATAAATAATATCATAATATAGTATGTGTCCTAAAAAATGTAAAAATGATTGCATACTATAGTATTTGTCCTAAAAATGTATAAATAATATAATACTAAGGTATGTGTCCTAAAAATGTATAAATAATATCATACTAAGGTATGTGTCCTAAAAATGTATAAATAATATCATACTATAGTATGTGTCCTAAAAATGTATAAATAATATCATACTAAGGTATGTGTCCAAAAAATGTAAAAATAATATCATACTATAGTATGTGTCGTAAAAATGTATAAATAATATCATACTGTAGTATGTGTCCAAAAAATGTAAAAATAATATCAAACTATACTATGTGTCCTAAAAATGTAAAAATAATATCATAATATAGTATGTGTCCTAAAAATGTAAAAATAATTGCATACTATAGTATTCGTCCTAAAATGTATAAATAATATAATACTAAGGTATGTGTCCTAAAAATGTATAAATAATATCATACTAAGGTATGTGTCCTAAAAATGAATAAATAATATCATACTATAGTATGTGTCCGAAAAATGATTAAATAATATCATACTTTAGTATGTGTCCGAAAAATGTAAAAATAATATCATACTATAGTATGTGTCCTAAAAATCTATAAATTATATCCTACTATAGTATGTGTCCTAAAAATGTATAAATAATATCATACTACAGTATGTGTCCTAAAAATGTATAAATAATATCATACTAAGGTATGTGTCCTAAAAATTTATAAATAATATCATACTATAGTATGTGTCCTAAAAATGTATAAATAATATCATACTTTAGTATGTGTCCAAAAAATGTAAAAATAATATCATACTATAGTATGTGTCCTAAAAATGTATAAATAATATCATACTATAGTATGTGTCTTAAAAAATGTAAAAATAATTTCATACTATAGTATTTGTCCTAAACATGTATAAATAATATCATACTACAGTATGTGTCCTAAAAATGTATAAATAATATCATACTACAGTATGTGTCTAAAAATGTATAAATAATATCATACTACAGTATGTGTCCTAAAAATGTATAAATAATATCATACTACAGTATGTGTCCTAAAAATGTATAAATAATATCATACTAAGGTATGTGTCCTAAAAATTTATAAATAATATCATACTATAGTATGTGTCCTAAAAATGTATAAATAATATCATACTTTAGTATGTGTCCAAAAAATGTAAAAATAATATCATACTAAGGTATGTGTCCTAAAAATGTATAAATAATATCATACATATTATGCAAAACTCACTTTTAACATCCTTTCGTGCTGCCATGTGGGTCTCTACTGCCTCTATAAACGCTCCAAACATAAAAGAATATCCATACATTTTCTGTCAGTGTTTGGTTTAAGGACTTGTGTGCCTAAAACAAGCTGTTTCAAAAAGTCCCAATTTGTGATGTCACAAACGGGGAAATTAGAATAGAACCACCTCTCACGTGCAAAAGAGAGTTGCAGGAGGAGTGGCGGTTCTACTATGAATCCCTCCTAGATATCTGAGCTTCTCTATTTATCAGCCTGAGCGGGGATGGGTGGGCGTGGCCAGTTCCAGCTTGTTTTCTTTGAGTGACAGAGCCCTGAAATTACTCATTCTGGAAGATACTGAAAATATCAAGAGTAAAACTGCTGAAATAGCTCTATGCTAGAGAGAAAAAACTTCATAAAAATGTTTTGTGTAGGTCATAGAACTTTTAAACCTTAAGAAAAAAGTCACTATATGTCCTGTTTAATACCTAACTAGGCAATGTAATTAATTTGATTAAAAAGGTTGAATGTAAAGAGAATGCTGTAGTCGTACTGTTAAAGAGCAAGTCCCCCAGATCACCTTTTTTTGCTGATAAACTATATAAATGAGTGTCTAATCGGGCTGTAGACGTGTGTAGTCAATAAATTGGAACTTTAGTGCATCTTAGTTAAAATTTAAATATTCTGCCTAAAACTGTCAGTGTTACGCCCTCTTCAGGTAAAAAATTGCACTACATTTGATTTTAAATCTGCCATCGCAATATGCTAAGAGGTACCCTATGACGTTAGCTGGTACATTATGATGTCACAATGTCGCTGTGAGCCTGTGTGTGTGTATTTGTTCTAGTGGCTTCGCCCTCTCGGTCTGCCAAGAGGCAACACCTCCTTGTGGAGCATTTTTTAAACAAGAAATTGGAGTGGAGTTAGACTCTGGTAGGGGGTGGCTTGCTCTTTAAATAGATTCAGTCTCATAAAATGTTAGAATTTTCCTAAAAATGATCTTTTTCCAATACATTTTAACATTTTCTTAATTGTCATATTTTAAGTGATGTGGTAAAGTAAGGAGTTTTTCAGCTTTTGCTTTTCTTTGTCACATTTAAATGTTTCAGATCAGCAAACAAACGAGCAAATAGAAATTTCTGTTTAAAACAATGATTTTGTTTATTAAGTGAAAATTAAATCCAAACAAATGTGTGAAAAAGTAACCAGCTTTTACACGTGAGGCACCATTTCTGTGATCTAAAATGCACAAAAATTTTAAATAAATAAAAAATAAATAAAATAAAATCTTATATTTTCAACATTTAATCTTTGTTTCTAACTTCAAAATCTGTTTGTATAAAAAAGTGAATCCCAAATTAAAACTAAAACTAAATCTAAAACCACATGTAAACAAAAGGGGGGATTTGAAGAAAGCTTGTCCTCAGAACTAAAAACACTAAAAATAAGCATCACGAGCACAAGCACGTGGATTAAAATATTCATTGTTCCCCTTCAGAATCCCTGCAGTGTTTTCAAAGAACAGGACAGAAGAACATGACAGTAGTAAGATGAATCTAAGGTGATGTCACCCTGTGGTAACATGCACCTTGTCAGTGACATTAGCTTCAACGTCAGCCCAACACAGAAAACAAGCAGCAGAAGTCCAGACATCTCCGTGTTTTTACTAAATTTATTCCCAGCTGGAACAACTTAGCTTTAGATTCTGTGCTCCTGTCACCTGCTGGGAGAGCTCCACAGTCTGGCAGAACGATAATATAAAGTTTAAGATCCTGCACACATATGCACAGCAAAGTGCATAAGCAACTAAGCAGGAGGTTTTATCCTCAAATTTGCATCATATTTGGCCTCAAAACATCAAGGTGGAGTATTAGGATTAGTACCTTCAACACAAACCTGCCACACCCAGTCCTGCACAAGCTTACTGCCCTCTGGTGGAGGATCTACAAATTATTTCATGATTTAGCCTTTAAGGGAGTTAAGGGGTTTTAAATTGCTTTAGTGCAACTCTAAACTTCGGAGTGGTAATGTGTTTTTCCTTCTCCAGACAAGGCCCTTTGAAGCCAGAAGTTTTGTCCATCCAGCTGTCGGGTCGCCGCCTCAATCGGAGGCTCCAGAGGAACAACAGCCTCTCCCCTAACAACCCACTGATCAGTCTGGTCAATTCAGGTGGGTTTAAAATGCCAACTTCAAACCAAAACTCCCTAAACCCAGGGTGCATAGGTGAATAGGTGAAATTTTTTAAAGTCACTTAAAAATGTGTACATGTGACTATCTTAGCCTGTTTCATGTAAAGTAGGTAATCTTTTATAATTCATATTTACCCTAAGTCCCTCTCTTGGCCTCTACAGCAAAACAAATTGTTTAAAGAGCAAGTCACCCCCTAGCAGAGTATTACTCTGCTCGCACTTCCTGTTTGAAAAATGCAACAAATGCTGTTGCCTAGCAGACCGAGAGGGCGGAGCCGCTAACAAATACACACACACACACACACACACACACAGAGGCTAACAAAAACATTGTGACATCATATGGTACCAGCTAATGTTCTAGGGTACCTCTTAGCCAATAGCGATGGCAGATTTAAATTCAAATGCAGTGCAGAGATTTTACCTGACAATGGCACAACACTGACAGTTTTAGGCAGAACATTTAAATTTTAACTAAAATGCACTAAAGTGCAAAACTATTGACTACACGTGTCTACAGCACGATTAGACACACATTTATATAGTTTATCAGGAAAAAAAAACGTTGATTTGGGGGTGACTTGCTCTTTAAAGTGGGTTGTAAATGGGATTGTCCATGTGTTACACACTGACACCATCTTTATGAAACCAGTGAGTGATATGGGAAACCAGTTGGAAAACAGTAGCTTGTTTAAAACTCTTTAAAGGAACTATTTCCATGACTCGGGCATTGAAACTCAGCAGAAAGTCAGAGTAAGGAAACACACTTGACACACATGTTTCAGGAACTACAAGTTAGAGCAGAGCTGAGCTGAAGGCAATTTCCCTCTGGGATTAATAAAGTATTTTTGAATTGAATTGAATTGAATTTGGAGTCCCCTTTCCTGATATTTGGACATCTCTCCTCATATTGGCCAACAGCAACGTGACTCTACCACTGACTCTGTTTGCTCTGCAACGTTGATGTCTTCTCTCCATAAATAACACAAGCCTGGAGGAGTTCTGTCGTGTGGTGGAGTTGCTAATGCTTAGGGTTAGCTTCTACTAGTCGAGATGTTCTCTGCTGTTTCCTAGATGCTAAACCAACAACAGCCTTCACTGTTAAAAGTCAATAAGGGTGAGTCCATGAATGTTAAGGGACAGTGTGACGTAGATCTGTCAGGATTTTCTAATCCTAGAGTTTCACCGTCTATTTTCCATCAGTAGCTGATTCAGGACATAGGTGTAGGAGACTATTTTCATATTCAGCCTGCATGAAAAAGTCAGAGTGACCCATTATAACCAGAAATAATCAGTAAAAGATTGTTTTTCAGTGAAGTACCACTTTAACGAGGTTCAGGTGTGATTGGAAGATGTATGGATTAAAAAAGTACTCATAATCATGACACTCAAGGGTCTAGAAGACAGATGAATCACTTCTGCTCTGTCAACATTTTTATTGTTTTGCATATGGTTCAGTTATAACAAATAACAAATATGTTTATCTACAATCTTCTACAGTAGTCTTTTTTCTTGCATGTTGCTATTCCACATCCCCAACATGTCACCAGCTGTGATTGCCAGCAGTTCTGTGAAACAAATGCAGAACCTTTGCAGGCTGATTATGAGGCTCAGAGCCTTTCTATTGATTGGTGTGCTTGTTTGCAGCACGACATGAAAGGAAGCCTTGAAATTTCCCCTGGCCCAGTTTATAATGGCTTTTTTTAGTTTGGGAATTAATGCAGAAAAGTATTTTAAAATAAAGTCGATATGCATGGCGTCTTTCATCTGTTCACCTTTGTTGTCCCCTCAGGTCTTTACGACGAAGATTGTCAGTGGACAATTCAGGTCAACAGGCTGCAGAAGCTCATCGACCGACTAGAACAAAAGGTTATTTCACCACGTTTCTCAAACATTCACACCACTTGTTTTCTGCACAGCTTCCTCCGTCTCTAGTCTTTGTTTTCACCATTTGCGCTTTACATTATTCTCTGAAATTTACCTCATATTTGTGGATTCATCAAAGCTCAACAACACCCACCCACACATGTACGCATGAGCATATGCACACACACAGGAGATGTCAGCTGAAACTCGCACAGCTGCTGTCTGTTCATGTTGAAAGAAGCAATCTGCTGTAAAGGGAGAGGTGAAAATACATAAATGCAGCCAGAAAAATGTGTTTGGTTGTTTAGCAATGAGTAAAAATGCATGAAGCATATTACTCAGGGACATTTTGCAACAGGTTCAAAATAAATGATTTAGCATGGACTATTTTTATTTATGCTAACTCTTTGTCACTTGGCTAAATGCTACAAATAATCTCCTAAACATAAAAATGAACATTTTTATTTTTAAAGCAACAGTTCACATCTTTTGAAGTTACTTTTAGAACAGCAAAGTTTTTAAGAAAAATAGTGTTTTTGATCAAGTCTAGCTAAGGTCTGGTTAGCCTTAAAATGGGCCAGGTATGTAATGTCTTCTCAAAAGTTGAATGGCAATTTATGCAAATAATCTTCAAATTTACACTAACTTTCTTATTTAATGATTGTTCCATCAAAATTCTTATAGAATTTCTGCTACAGTAGTAGCTAGCTCCATGGCTAATAACTAGTATTCTGCAGCTAGCCATGCTGCAGTGCTAGTGCGCAGACCTAATTAGGGTTCCAAGCCCAGCCACTAATGCAAATATTATTTTTTTGTAAGATAAGTTTAACTTTTATGATCCTTATAAAAATATAAGCAGAAGTCTCACATCACAAAGGTAATCTGGGAATATTTTGAGATTTTTGTACAAAAGCAAAGATTTTTTATTAATTTTTTTACTTTATTCCAGTTTTTCTGTTTAGTTGCATAAAAAAGTAAATATTTTTGTTAGAATTTTTTTAGGTATATAGTAAATATAAACAATTTATAACATCCCACATGTACCTATGGTGATCTGAGATTTTTCTACTAATTTTATAAAGTAGCACTATTTTTTTAATGAATATTTTAATTTTGGGCGTGACCCTTATAATTATATTTACCAATTTTTCTTCAAAAAAGCTTTGAATCTACTGATTTAAAAACAACAGCATTGTATTCCGCAGGTTAACATTACCATGTGAGAATATTTAGGTAATTTTATGATGATTTGTAGATTTTTCAGGATTTTTCAAAATCATTTGACCAGGAAGTCACGAAATGAAACTCATAGTTTTTGTTGACAATCTAATAAATCTAGGGACATTATCAAGTATTTATATTATTCCTAATATACTGTTGAAGTATAGATTATTGTTCGGTAATCTTTAGATCAAATATGGATTTTATAATAAAGTTTTTGTTTCGGTCAGTTTATTTATGAATTTCAATATATTTTTTAAATTAAAAAGTATTTAATTTAGAAACAATAAAATGACTAAACCTGATTTCTCATGACCCCATGATGACACATAACACAATCAGTCCTTCAGCCATTCACACACACAGTCACACACTAGTGGGAATCCACAGCTGCCCTGGGGCGCACTGAGGCAAGGCAGTATTCTCTGGTCAGAGATTGGATCGATCCTTCAACCTTCCGATTACTGGAAAACCCCCTCCAACTCCTGAGCTACTGCTGTCCCATGCAGCACATGACTTAATTAACTACATCTCCAAGATCTTTAAAAATCAAACGATGGAACTGGATTGTTGTAGGAATCGAGATGTAACTGTCTATGAAAGATTTTCCTATAGGCTGTACAAAAGGTTCAAGGAGATTTCCTGACTGTTCATTTCATTCTGCCGGTTTAGAGAGCTGACATGACGCCTGCAGGATTCTTTCATCCATTCACACACACAGTCACACACTAGTGGGAATGAGCTACAATGTAGCCACAGCTTCCCTGGGGTGCACTGAAAGGCGAGGCAGTATTCTCTGGTCAGAGATTGGATCGATCCTTCAACCTTCCGATTACTTTACGGCCTGCTCTACCTCCTGAGCTAATGCTGTCCCATGCAGCACATGACTTCACTAACTTCACTAACTTGGGCTGCATGGTGGTGCAGTGGTTAGCACTGTTGCCTCGCAGCACGAAGGTTGCAGGTTCGAAACTCAGCTGCGGCCTTTCTGCGTGGAGTTGCATGTTCTCCCCATGCATGCGTGGGTTTCCTCCGGGTACTCCGGTTTCCCCCACAGATCACAACATGCCCTATAGGTTAAAAATTGTAAGTCGCTTTGGATAAAAGCGTCTGCCAAATAAATAAACATAAACATAAACTAAATCTTCACGGTCTTTAAAAATTAAACAATGGAATTCGATTGTAATCACGATTGAGAAGTCGGCCATGCCTATGAAAGATTTTCCTATAGGCTCCGCAAAAGGTTCTATGAGTTATCCTGAGTGTTCCTTTCATTGCACCGGTTGAAGTGAGCTGAAGGGACGCCGGCAGGAGAACGTGTTTTTGGAGCGGGGCCACGTGAGGAATGGCGAGGGCGAGGCCGGGTGGGGGACTGGCGCTGGTTGGCTTGGAACCTGTTGCTAACTGCTTGCAGTTCTAGTTCCTTTTTGTTTCTATTTGCTTGTTTTGTTCTATATTTAAATTTTTGAGTGAAATTGCTAAACCTTTGCCCTAATTTAAGAAAAAAAAATGCTAAAAACACAAATTTTTGTAACTTTTTTGTGTCTTTTTGACGGTTGTTGCTTGACTTTTAGAGGGTGGATATCTCATTGTTTACCCTGTATTTAGTAGAAAAATAAACTCACACATTTGTCAGATGCGTAAAACTGATGCATTTGTTACAAAAATTATTTTGAAATGTTAATTCTTATGTGCAAAAATGTGCACATTTATGGAGCAGAAGCACACACCAGTAGATGCAATATCTAACAGAGAAACCTCACACAATAATCAATCATGCACCTTAAATAGATATTTAAAAATATACCTAATTCAGAATAATTTAAAAAATATCAAATAGTTGAATAAAAACCATCAAAGTCAAAGTCAAAGTTGTTTTTATTGTCATTTCTACCACATGTGCAGGACATACAGAGAAACGAAATTGAGTTTCAGTGCACACAATTCAGAGATCAGACATACATGGGTAAGACACATGAAAAGAATTGGTGACTGCGGTCATTCGCAACATGAGTCGCGCTACCTTAATAGATAGATGAAAAGGGTGTTACATGAGGATAATTGGGGGTAAGGTAAAAAAAGGCATAGCAGAGTTAGACCCAGCGGGGAGTAACTCTATTATACAAAGAAAACTCCCTGACTTAGAAGCACAAACAGCACACACACAAACATCAGAGTCCAATGGGGAGGCGGGGATGGGTGGGGATCCTGAAGCCTCCAATGGGAGCTACCGGTACGGCGCATCAACCAGTTGCAGACCAACAGGTGGGAGGGAGAGATAAGGAACAGAGAGCACACTGAGTTTCCCGCAGACGTCTCAATCTGAAGGAAGAGGGTGAAGGTCGGGACACAGCATCTGTCGGCATTCCTCCTTTCGTGGGGGTGTGTTGAAGCAGCTTTGAGAGGCTGCTATGGCGTCAGATAAGGATAAACATGACTTTGTTTGGGACAGGCAGAGATAATTTTCCTCTCTTCCTTGGAGTCTATTAAGTGGTCATTCATGTCCACCGTGAAGCCAATTTTATGTGTTCTAAACATCTCCACATCGTCCGGTGACCCTCTCCGAGATGACTTCCATCTTGCGTACTAAAACAAGCAACGCCGCGAGGACATTACCCAGCTTACGGTTCACCTCGAGTAACGTCCCAGTCTGTGAGGTCACCGCCCGAGCGGCACATTCCATGGGCACGGGTCGCACTCCAATCGCTCCCGTCTACCCAAATTTCCAGAAAACCAGATATCCTCCCACTCCAATCAGAAGAAATCCAGTGATCATCAGGCCGAACATCCACAAATCTTCCACGTCCTCGATGGACAACTGAGAGAGGCACACGATCCGCCAGACCTCCCAAGAATCGAGTGCATATCCCGATGCGAATGTCCCCTCGGGACAGGTGGGAGCCCCCTTCTCCGTTCTCATCGTAGAAAAAATGTTGTCAATCGCGTTGAATGACCAGTTAATTAAGTCCATTTTTCCAAAAGAGTAGTGGTTTCAGGAGAAATGCAGAGAAGTGCTCTGTAGGCAGACGGGACAAGAGCCTTGGGGAAGCGATAAGGGAGCTGAGAAAAAAGTGTCTGTACTCTCTGAATACAGATCTCTCAGCAGTGTCACATCAGCAAATAAGATTCACAAAAGGAGCAAAGAAGAATAAAAATTGATTAAGAAAGGAAAGAAAACAACATTCAGCTTCTTATTGTATTGTTCCTATAATTTCAGTTTAATGTCTCCAAAAACTTTAATTTGCACTAGATTCAAAATTTCATTGGAGTAAAAAACGCCTTTTCTGTGTTTGCAGGAGATTCGTCTGGAGCCCTTCGAGGATGAAGTCATCGAGAGCAAATCGGTTAGTTTGTTGACATTTATTCACCATGCACTTGTCTGCTGCAGTGACCACACTGCGGATTACTCCCATCACACAGTAGCACCGGCAAGGAAGCCACGCTGACAATGCATAGACGGTGGTCGTCATAGCAACAACACAGTTTAAAGTTATCAGGAGCGTTCCTCGCTCTATTTTGCACCCTCAATCTGTCCGGTTTGGACTTGATATTGAGTTGTAGATTGTCAGACAAGAACCACACATGAATTTATTGCTTTAGAAATATCCTCCAGGCTTGTGATTAGGTGGGATTTATTTTCAATGATGCACAATGTGCGCAGGTATGCACTAGCTGCACATGCCGAGGTAAAAACACTTTGTTGTTGCTACCAATCAAGATTCGTGTCACTCACTTCAGAGCTGAGAACACAAATCTCACATCAGCTGGATAAACAAACAGGATAACGTGGCATGGTTTAGTCCCAAATATGGATTTTTACAACAATGTTGGTGTTATTTTGACAGATTTTTCAGTAAAGAGACAATTCAACATTTCTAACTTTTAAATACTGGTAAAAAAAAAACCCAGAAAGACTGATGTGATGTTGCTAAACCAAACAGGTTTGTTGAAAATCATGAAATAGACACAATACGCCGCTAAAGGTTGGTTTAAACTAAAATTCTAATCTTTTCCGAGCTAATGGCAAAAAATAAATAACTCTTTAATTTAAAATAAACTGTATATCATCAAATTAAAATTCTAGGATTCTTTATAAAAGTTTAAATTTCTGTTGACAACTGATTAGGTTGTTTTAGTCGAGTTACAGATTATTGCAAAATCTCAAGCAATTAGTTGACTCTCTGCTTCAAACAAGTGAAATGATGGTTCATTATCTGTGAAATCTGTTGCATTTTAGGGCTTTTTGTGCTCGGTATCATCCATTAGCTGTGGAAGCCATCTTGAATGGGACTGGTCCCAACAGTTGGTTGGACATTTATCCAGTGAATCTTTTCGGAGATTGTCATTAAAATGTCCGCAGTGGTATTGATGCAACAACATCATGCAAACCGTAATAAAAAGATGACAGTGGGAAAATGAAATGTTTCACTGCTCAAGTTATGCTTCTTTTTTTAAAAGGGGCACCAAACTAGAACCAAAAGCCGTATCGATAGCAGAGATCTCAACAGACACACTTCGCCCAGAAAATTTGGCAAAAGTTAATTCAGATGGATTCTGTCAGGAAAATACAAGCAGGTGTTTAGACTGCAGTATGACCAAATTCAACATGTATTTCAAAAGTGCTGAATCCACTCTTAACTAGTTCCTTCCAAGAAAGAGAAAGGGCCCGTTGCCAGAACCTCCTGGTAATTTACCGGACGTTTGTGATATACATGTCTCCATTTCATCGGGCCAGCCTGATAAGACTGTTTTAGGGTGGAGCCAAATATCTGAACTAGAGTATGCACTCAGCAATTTCCCGGTAGAGTCGCTGGGCGGGACTTGTGGTTAACTCATGGTGATTGGTTGTAACTCAATAGGAAATGATGTCAGTAGGCATCACCAAACAACCAACATTTGTAAAACTGGAAGAGTTGCTAGTAAAGCAGAATGGAAGAAAAATAAAATAAGCAGCATTGATGCGTCTTTAAAATCATGATTTTTAAACTCCCAACGCCAAAAAATGCATCAGAAATCCCCTCAGAACTCCGTGATTTATGATGCTTTGTTGTCTCTACAGAGCGCCATTAAAAAACAGTGCTTCGTCTATCAATCAATCAATCAATCAGATTTTATTTATAAAGAGCTTTTCAAGCAAAGTGCGACTCAAAGTGCTTTACAGAATTAAAACGACCCCAAATTCCCATTACAGTATGAAAACATTAACACACACACACACACACACACACACACACACACACACACACAAAATCACATCAGTAAAAATTTATATTCGGCTGAATCCAGATGAGCCAAGTAAGGTAAGGCAAGGAAGCACCTTCAGAGGAGCCGTCTGCCCCGGCAGCATCAGGTCTTCCACAGCAACTAAGTCAGGGCGCTCAGAGGAGGGGGTGCATACACCTCCACTTAAACACTACCTATAGAGCGCCCAGGAAGCAACAGTCGACCACTGCCCCTGGGGCAGAGGGCCCCTACAGAGAAAACACGGGATTAAAATGAGTAAAAATATGAAAATAAAAGAGCTAATATAAATGACAAAAGTAAGATAATAAATAAAATCATATGGACAGTAAAATAATAATATTACTAAATAATGAAACTGTGCTAAAATATAATAATATAAAACATGCAAAGCCAGTAATAAAATATAATCATGTAATCGTCTGATCGTTGAATGTCACTTTTTACGTCACACAGCCGAGCTCCCGGTCCCCTAAATAGATAAAATTACAACTTTTTTTTTTTTTTGACAAAATGAAACTTTTCAAAAGTTGGTGATCCCTTGGGCCAGCTCCTCCAGGGAAGAGTTTGGTGAGATCATGGAGCAAGACTTCCGTACGGCTTCGAGGAGATTCTGGTCCACCATCCCGCGCCTCAGGGGAGGGGAAAGCAGTGCGCTACTAACACTATCTATAGTGGGGACGGTGTGCTGCTGACCTCTACTCAGGACATTGTGGATCGGTGGGCAGAATACTTTGAAGACCTCCTCAATCCCACCGACATGTCTTCCAGTGAGGAAGCAGAGTCTGGGGACTTTGGGATGGCCTCTCAAATCTCTGGTGCTGAGGTCACTGAGGTGGTTAAAAAGCTCCTCTGTGGCAAGGCTCTGGGGGTGGATGAGATCTGCTCGGAGTTCCTTAAGGCTCTGGATGTTGTGGGGCTGTGTTGGTTCTGCAATATCGCGTGGACATCAGGGGCAGTCCCACTGGACTGGCAGACCAGGGTGGTGGTTCCCTTATTTAAAAAGGGGGACCACAGGGTGTGTTCCAACTTCAGGGGGATCAGACTCCTGAGCCTTCCTGGTAAGGTCTATTCAGGGGTTCAGGAGAGGAGAGTCCATCAGATTGTTGAACCTCAGATTCAGGAGGAGCAATGTGGTTTTCGTCCTGGCCGTGGAACACTGGACCAGCTCTATATCCTTAGGGGGATGCTGGAGGGTGCGTGGGAAATTGCCCAACCAGTATACATGTACTTTGTGGATTTGGAGAGCTTTTGACTGGGTCCCTCAGGGGTCCCTGTGGGGGGTACTCCGGGAGTATGGGGTACCAGGCCCTCTGATACGGGCTGTTAGGTCCCTGTATGACCGGTGTGAGAGCTTGGTCCGCATTGCCGGCAGTAAGTCGGGCTCGTTCCCAGTGAGAGTTGGACTCCACCAAGGCTGCCCTTTGTCACCGATTCTGTTCATAACCTTTAGGGACAGGATTTCTAGGTGCAGCCAAGGTGTGGAGGGCATCTGTTTTGGTGGCCTGAGGATCAGGTGTCTGCTTTTTGCAGATGATGTAGTCTTGTTAGCTTCATCAGAACATGATCTTCAGCTTTCACTGGAGCGGTTTGCAGCCGAGTGAGAAGCAGCTGGGATGAGAATCAGCTCCTCTAAATCTGAGACCGTAATCTTGATTCGGAAAAGGGTAGAATGCCTTCGCCGGGTCAGGGATGAGGTCCTGCCCCAAGTGGAGGAGTTTAAGTATCTCGGGGTCTTGTTCACGAGTGAGGGAAAACTGGAGCGTGAGATCGATAGGCGGATTGGTGCTGCATCTGCAGTGATGCGGCCGTTGTACCGGTCTGTCGTGGTGAAGAGAGAGCTGAGTCAGAAGGCGAAGCTCTCGATTTACCGGTCGATCTGCGTTCCTACTCTCACCTATGGTCATGAGCTTTGGATAGTGACCGACTGAACGAGATCACGGATACAAGCAGCCGAAATGAGTTTTCTCCACAGAGTGGCTGGGCTCTCCCTTAGAGATAGGGTGAGAAGCTCAGCCATCCGGGAGGGGCTCAGAGTAGATTTGCTGCTCCTGCACATCGAGAGGAGCCAGTTGAGGTGGCTCGGGCATCTGGTCAGGATGCCTCCTGAACGCCTCCCTGGTGAGGTTTTCCGGGCACGTCCAGCCAGGAGGAGACCTAATGGTAGACCCAGGACACGTTGGAGGGACTATGTCTCTCATCTGGCGAGGGAACACCTTCGGATTCCCCCGGAGGAGCTGGCCCAAGTGGCTGGGGAGAGGAAAGTATGGACCCCTCGACTTTGGCTACTGCCCCCATGACCAACTCCAAATAAGTGGACAAAAATGGATGGATGGATGGATGGATGATCACTGCCAAAACTGTTGCATTATGCTGATGTCCCCGAAAGAGCCGATTTGCTATGGATACACAATGACTGAGATGACCAAGCCAATGTATTTTCCCGTCCGCTTCCCCCTTCAAGAAATGTATCTGAATTTTTATAGTTGAAACATGACTATTGGCATTTGTTTGGGGAAAACAGGATAAAACTTTGCAAGAAATGATGCGGAGGCCAACGGATCAGTGTGAAAACTATTTGCAAGTCTCAGTTGTCTCACTACGAAATCGATGCAGACATCTGTGTGGATTAATCAATATGTAATTAGCTTAAAAGCGCGTATCACTTGGAATAAATTTGCCCCCCCAAAAAAATCCTGATAATGACCTGATAGTGTTTATCAACATACGTTTATGTCTTTCTCCTAAATTAGGTACAGAGTAAGAGTGTCCTCGAGCTTCGGACTCACACACACAGTAATGTTTTCATCACTGCATCTCCAGAAGACTCACCCTCATTAACGGACGCTGTTTACCTCATAGCCAGCAGGCGGACCACTCACTTCCTGTTACCATTAAACCAAACACTTATTTCATGGGGGGATGAATTGTAACACCTCTCCACCAGTCAGACGAAAGAAACTTTACCTTTGTTCCTTTTGAATGTTTTGTTCTGCCAGAGAATTTCTGAACGCTCCAAAGAACCCTGCATGCTCTCTTTATACCAGAGGCTAATTCTGACCTTCTGAATGTTCGTGTGTGTGTGTGTGTGTGTGTGTGTGTGTGTGTGTGTGTGCGTGCGTGCGTGCGTGCGTGCGTGCGTGTGTGTATGTGTGCGCGCTTACAGCACATCTTAATAGTCCAACGGCAGCTCTCTGTGTTGGAGGAGGAGCTGGAGGAGTTTCGTTTGGCTCTCCGGCAGTACATGGAGTGCGCCTGCGCCCAGACGGGATGTCTACAGTTGGTTCATTTCTTTATTTTTACTGTTTACGTCAACTGTTATTGTCTTTATAACGTATATCATTATAGAAGAGTAGAAAGTAACTCATGCAATATCTTTTGAGATCTTATTTAAAAATATGTTTCTGACAAAAGCTTTTCTACATAGAGAAACTCTCAAATCAAAACTGTTTTATCAATTTTTTTTAATTATCAACCACCTGCAGGTTTATGAGTGGAAGCATAGAATATGATCAGGATTTAATTTTGAAGGTGCAATGTGTAAGAATGACATCCTGTGGTCAAATGTGGTTACTGCAGTCCATTTTTCAGCAAAAGTGTCCCTTTTCTCACTGCCGTTCCGTGTTTCATGGTTGTTGGTTACGGGTCAGCACTAAAAGACTCTAGATGATAAGCAAAGATTAGTCATACACAGTAAGTTGATAAGTAGATAAATATATTTTCATGTCAAGTATTAGCACTCTTGGGTATTTTACGGTAGGGAGTACTTACTACACTTACTACTGTAGCTTGCCTCCGGCCTTAAAGGAAGTGTGGCTGTTTGTCGTCTTGCTGTTAGCTTGCCGTTATAGTTCTGAGCGACTCATTTAAGGAAGTAAAACACGATGATTGACTCATTATTCATTTCACAAATACATTTCACTTAAATATATAGTGTTTGGTCACTGAAAAAGTAGCTTGAGATACTTTTAGAGCCAACTATTTGCTTCTGATTGATTGTTAGCATTTGTAGAGAAGAGGTTCCTACATTTAATTAGAAACCATAAAACGTGAAATATCACGAAGTATGAAATATCACCTTAATGGATCTTTAAGTAAATTTAATCAGAAGAACTGATCTTTTTTATTGCAGGGATTGAGCAACACTCCGTATTAACTTCTAGAAAAGAGAGTGAGTCAAGTTTTAAAAGTTTAAAGATTTATTACTAAACAAATTAAAACTAGACTAACTTTAAACACTAAATGTATGGTGTAACTAAGGTGAAGTAAGACTGAGAACGGTGTATGTGTGAATATGTTCAGAACCAGCAGATCAGGAGAAACGATTAGTTCTGATGGGAGTGAAGATAATGTTTTGCGCTAAGCCTTGGTTCGGAGATTTATAACACTCATTGAGACGCCATTCTGCCGGCCTACGTACCCTTTGCGGAAGTCCCCGTTAGATCAGGAATGTCGAGGTCAAGCTTGACCTTCTCTGGAACCGAAGCCGGTAGGAAAAGCAGCGGTTGCCGACTAGACCAGTCTTGAGATATTTCCGGGTTACGACAGTTTTATTGGCATCTAGCGAGACCCAAAAGGGATGGTTCAGCTTTTATTCTGAAAGGAACCATTGCAGCAGGTGGAACAGCAACAGATTTTATCCAGCTTGTTGTTAGGTTCTTTCGGCTGAAGAGGAAAGTTACGGATTGGCCGCTCCGACAACTTCTCTAGAACGCTTTGAACTGGAACTAAAGATGACGTGGGCATAGTTTTATAATTTGGATGTTTTGATTTACGGTCGAATCAAAAAGGGACAGATTTACCAAGCACCAGCAAAACCACGCCTCGCGTCAGATCTGGAAGGCTCTGATTGGATCAGAAAAAGGAAATGTGTCATGTGATTCTTAACATTACGTGTGATCAGTCTAGTGGAAACATTTAAACATTGTCATTTCACAGATTGGTTCACATTTTATTATTGGACTAACACTTTGTTTGATTAGCTTTATTAAAAATAGAGTTCTTCTGATTTATTAAAAGAAAGAGTCCTTTGTCTTGAGCTGGAAAGGAAGACACAGTTTAGAAGCAGATGCATGAGACCTTGAGCAATATCTCATGCAGATTAGGTTTGTGTCAGAAACTTCTGGTTTCGCTTTGAGCAGAGCAAAACAGAGCAGGGCCTTTTAGGTCAGAAGTGGACAATTCATCACGCTACACATTGTTAGCCCAACGTTAGCTTGTAGCCTCAGTCATCCAATATTAGAGGGAAAAAAGATGCCGTGGCTTCTTACGGGTACAAGAAATAACTTCTGGGTCGCTCCTGTTTACTGGCTTCAGTTCTTTAAGCAACTCTGGAGCTTTTTGCCTGCTGGTGTTGAATTGCAAATGCCTGCACTGCTGTGTTAGCTCGCAGATTTGCAACCTCCTTAACTCAGAGTGTAAACCGTAACTATCTTTTATTTTTTTCGAAAGGAGAAAACCTTATAAGCTCCCAGCCGGCTGAGAATAAAATCTGTTTCGGTATAACCTTCCTTCCACCATGACTGAGACATATGATTATTTCACATTTCACACTTCTAAGTGTTTTTTTTTCCTTCACAAAATGACATATTTTACTTGAAAATAGCACTTTAAAGTCTCAAATTAAAGTAATAAATATCTAGTTTTTAGAAAATTTAAACTAATCTGAGACAAAACTTCAACTTAAAGTTAAGAAAACCTTTTTCTGGAGCCATTCACCATTCAGCAAATTTCTCACTTTAGTGGGCAGATTTTGAACCAAGCAAAGGATAAAGATAATATTAATGCCCTTACATTAAATAAGTAATATATGCTTTATTTAATTTGACCTTAAAATACCTTAATAGTGAAGTTTTGTTAAAAAACAGTGAAGGAAATAAAGCTTCACTTTTTAAATCTTTTTCAATTAATTTAAAAAATTTTTTTAGAGTTAAATCACTAAATCAGACATTTTTTAATGTGTTTGATGTTAAGAAGTTTCTACTGAAATGTCTGATGAAATCATTCTCCTGGACTCGGTTGCAGTCTTGAGACGTGTAATTGATGTGATTTTAGAAATAAAATCTCATTAAATAAGAATTAAGAGCAAATTAACATCGTAATAAATCAGGATAAGTAAAAATTTTTGACACACCCTGACCACGATGAGAGAACATCTGCTTTGATATTTTCGTTTTACAGCTCAAGCCCTATAATTCCTCTGCTCAGTTGCGACTAAAAACGTCTTCCATCTGACTCGGTTGTCTGCCACTTTGGTTGTTGATGAAATCCTGCAGCCTTAAGGACACTTTGGCCTCATCGCCTCCTCCTCCAAATATTCGTTTTGTTTTAGCTCAGATGTTTACGATAACATACAGATGTAGTGTGGCCACATTTGAGCTGTAAAATCAGGATTGTGTAGGGGAACGTGAGGCAGCACACTGATTAGCCACTGTTTGACTCTCTCGCTCTCTGGTTTTATTTTTCAGCATCGCAGTTCAGCGACTGGCAAATGAGTCACGCTTCATCCTCTATGAATTCTGGGAGCACAACAACGTGTGGAAGAAGTGAGTGTCTGTTCAACGAACATTATTAGGAAATTTGTTCTGCTTGAACTCATTAGGATAAGGTTTGCTTGAAATAAAAGAGCAAGAGAGTTTTTCTAAATTTTTAACAGGAAGAAAAAGTTTAAACTTCATAGATTGAAAATATTTTTTCTCAAAACTGCCTATTTTAGAGTTTATTATAATTTGCACATTTACCCCTTAGAGCCGGTATCCTGCACGTTTTTGCTCCAACACTTCTAATTCAGTGGATGATTCACCAGTTCAGCAGCTCATCAGGCTCTGCAGAAACCTGTTAATTCCCTGCTGATTGAAATCAGGTGTGTTGAAGCAGGGTTAAAAGTAAAATGTGCTGGATACTGGCCCTTGATGGACCAGGGTTCCCCACCCCTGCCTTAGGTCAAACACTTTATTTTATGGGAGCACGAATTTTTCAAAAGCAAAACAATCTGATTTTTTTTTCAAATGTCAATAATAAAATAATTATATAATCACTGAAAACACTATTAGGTAAATATATGACAAAAGTAATGACAAAATACGATTGCATTTATCTACTGCAGTACTGAGGTATTCCACAAGGAGGCAGAAGACTTGTACAGAATTTAATGGTGGAAGTTTGAGGAACGTACTAATCCTGTTAAAGAGATAGAGGTCAGAGAAACCTAGGAGTATGTGGAGTAAATATCAGTTGGAATCAAAGGGTTCATTATAGAAACACTAAGCTAAAAATACAGAGATATTTGAATAAATAAATAAACAAATAAACATTATTTATTACCTTAATTTATACATATTTTAACCCTTGCTGCTTGTAGATAGATAGACAGACAGACAGACAGACAGACAGACAGACAGACAGACAGACGTTGAATACATGGATTGAAGGATGAATGGATGGATGGATGATGGATAGATAGATGGATGGATGGATAGATAGATGGATGGATGATGGAGGGATGATGGATGGAGGGATGATGGATGGATGGATGATGGAGGGATGATGGATGGAGGGATGATGGATGGATGGATGATGGATGGATGGATGGATGGAAGATAGATAGATAGATAGATAGATAGATAGATAGATAGATAGATAGATAGATAGATAGATAGATAGATAGATAGATAGATAGATAGATAGACAGACAGACAGACACGTTGAATACATGGATTGAAGGATGAATGGATGGATGGATGATGGATAGATAGACGGATGGATGGATGATGGATGGATGATGGAGGGATGGATGGATGAATGGAAGATGGATAGATAGATAGATAGATAGATAGATAGATAGATAGATAGATGATAGATAGATGATAGATAGATGATAGATAGATGATAGATAGATAGATAGATAGATAGATAGATAGATAGATAGATAGATAGATAGATAGATAGATAGATAGATAGATAGATAGATAGATAGATAGATAGATAGATAGATAGATAGATAGATAGATGATAGATAGATGATAGATAGATGATAGATAGATGATAGATAGATAGATAGACAGACAGACAGACAGACAGACACGTTGAATACATGGATTGAAAGATGAATGGATGGATGGATGATGGATAGATAGACGGATGGATGGATGATGGATGGATGATGGAGGGATGGATGGATGGAAGATAGATAGATAGATAGATAGATAGATAGATAGATAGATAGATAGATAGATAGATAGATAGATAGATAGATAGATAGATAGATAGATAGATAGATAGATAGATAGATAGATAGACAGACAGACAGACACGTTGAATACATGGATTGAAGGATGAATGGATGGATGGATGATGGATAGATAGACGGATGGATGGATGATGGATGGATGATGGAGGGATGGATGGATGAATGGAAGATGGATAGATAGATAGATAGATAGATAGATAGATAGATAGATAGATAGATAGATAGATAGATGATAGATAGATGATAGATAGATGATAGATAGATGATAGATAGATAGATAGATAGATAGATAGATAGATAGATAGATAGATAGATAGATAGATAGATAGATAGATAGATAGATAGATAGATAGATAGATAGATAGATAGATAGATAGATAGATAGATAGATAGATAGATAGATGATAGATAGATGATAGATAGATGATAGATAGATGATAGATAGATAGATAGACAGACAGACAGACAGACACGTTGAATACATGGATTGAAAGATGAATGGATGGATGGATGATGGATAGATAGACGGATGGATGGATGATGGATGGATGATGGAGGGATGATGGATGGATGATGGAGGGATGATGGATGGATGGATGGATGGATGGATGGATGATGGATGGATGGATGGATGGATGGATGGATGAATGGAAGATGGATGGATGGATAGCTAGATAGATAGACAGACAGACAGACAGACAGACAGACAGACAGACAGACAGACAGACAGACAGACAGACAGACAGACAGACAGACAGACAGACAGACAGACAGACAGACAGACAGACAGACAGACAGACAGACAGACAGACAGACAGACAGACAGACAGATAGACAGATAGATAGATAGATAGATAGATAGATAGATAGATAGATAGATAGATAGATAGATAGATAGATAGATAGACAGACAGACAGACAGACAGACAGACAGACAGACAGACAGATAGATAGATAGATAGATAGATAGATAGATAGATAGATAGATAGATAGATAGATAGATAGATAGATAGATAGATAGATAGATAGATAGATAGATAGATAGATAGATAGATAGATAGATAGATAGATAGATAGATAGATAGATAAATGGATGATGGATGGTTAATTAAAACGATGGTGTATGGATGGATGATGGGTGGATAGATGGATGGATGGATGATGGATAGATAGATGAATGGAAGATGGATGGATGGATGGATGGATAGATAGATGAATGGATAGATAGATGGATGGATGGAAGGATGGATGAATGAATAATGGATAGATAGATGAATGGATGATGGATGGTTAATTAAAACGATGATGTATGGATGGATGATGCATAGATGGATGATGGGTGGAAGGATGGATGGATGGATGATGGATAGATAGATGAATGGATGATGGATGGTTAAGTAAAACGATGATGTATGGATGGATGATGGGTGGAAGGATGGATGGATAGATGAATGGATGGATGATGGATAAATAGATGAATGGATGATGGATAGATAGATGGATGGATGGATAGATAGATGAACGGATGATGGATAGATAAATAAATGGATAGATGGATGATGGATAGATAGATGAATGGATGGATGGATGATGGATAGATAGATGAATGGATGATGGATGGTTGATGGATAGATAAATTAATTGATAGATAGATGAATGGATGATGGATAGATAGATTAATGGATGGATGGATGATGGATAGATAGATGAATGGATGATGGATGGATGATGGATAGATAAATAAATGGATAGATAGATTAATGGATGGATGGATGATGGATAGATAAATAAATGGATAGATGAATGGATGATGGATGGATGATGGATAGATAAATAAATTGATAGATAGATGAATGGAAGATGGATAGATAGATTAATGGATGGATGGATGATGGATAGATAAGATGAATGGATGATGATAGATAAATAAATGGATAGATAGATGAATGGATGATGGATGGATGATGGATAGATAGATGAATGGATGATGGATACATAGATTAATGGATGGATGGATGATGGATAGATAGATGAATGGATGATGGATAGATAAATAAATGGATAGATAGATGAATGGATGATGGATGGATGATGGATAGATAAATGGATAGATGAATGGATGATGGATAGATAGATTAATGGATGGATGGATGATGGATAGATAGATGAATGGATGATGGATAGATAAATAAATGGATAGATAGATGAATGGATGATGGATGGATGATGGATAGATAAATGGATAGATAGATGAATGGATGATGGATAGATAGATTAATGGATGGATGGATGATGGATAGATAGATGAATGGGTGATGGATAGATAAATAAATGGATAGATAGATGAATGGATGATGGATGGATGATGGATAGATAAATGGATAGATAGATGAATGGATGATGGATAGATAAATAAATGGATTGATAGATGAATGGAGGATGGATGGATGATGGATAGATAAATAAATGGATAGATAGATGAATGGATGATGGATGGATGATGGATAGATAAATGGATAGATAGATGAATGGATGATGGATGGATGATGGATAGATAAATGGATAGATGAATGGATGATGGATAGATAGATTAATGGATGGATGGATGATGGATAGATAGATGAATGGATGATGGATAGATAAATAAATGGATAGATAGATGAATGGATGATGGATAGATAAATGGATAGATAGATGAATGGATGATGGATAGATAGATTAATGGATGGATGGATGATGGATAGATAGATGAATGGGTGATGGATAGATAAATAAATGGATAGATAGATGAATGGATGATGGATGGATGATGGATAGATAAATGGATAGATAGATGAATGGATGATGGATGGATGATGGATAGATAAATGGATAGATAGATGAATGGATGATGGATAGATAGATTAATGGATGGATGGATGATGGATAGATAGATGAATGGGTGATGGATAGATAAATAAATGGATAGATAGATGAATGGATGATGGATGGATGATGGATAGATAAATGGATAGATAGATGAATGGATGATGGATAGATAAATAAATGGATTGATAGATGAATGGAGGATGGATGGATGATGGATAGATAGATGAATGGATGATGGATAGATAAATAAATGGATAGATAGATGAATGGATGATGGATGGATGATGGATAGATAAATGGATAGATAGATGAATGGATGATGGATAGATAAATAAATGGATAGATAGATGAATGGAGGATGGATGGATGATGGATAGATAAATAAATGGATAGATAGATGAATGGATGATGGATGGATGATGGATAGATAGATGAATGGATGATGGATAGATAAATAAATGGATAGATAGATGAATGGAGGATGGATGGATGATGGATAGATAAATAAATGGATAGATAGATGAATGGATGATGGATGGTTAATTAAAACACGATTTCCAAGTTATACTTTTAATTTTCCCATTTTTTTGCACCTTAATGATTTTTTTTAACACTTGGTAGTAAGCTCACACTTTAGGATCAAATAACTCAGAAAATGTAAATAATCTCTAAACGAGTCTTGTGGGCATCATATCTTCTAAACCTGCAGGTTTAGTTGACATATTGGCATCTAGCAGCTTTGGTGACTTTTTCCTTTTTCCAATAAACTTTCTGTATCCTCAAAAATTCTTGACTTCGTGCCAAAAATCTGCACAACAAATGCAAAAATCAGACGCTTTCTTCAGGATTGAGACATCACTGCTAAAATAACAACGATAGAATATGAATCTACTTATTCGTCTTTGGACGGATCCTGCTCTCTCATCCCTCTCTGACTTTCTCAATCCTAGGAAGAGTTGTTCTTTTCCAAACGGAAGGATTTTTTGTCACTGAGGTGTTTTCAGGATTCAGGCTGGGTGTTGTGAGAGCGAGAGCTTTTTCTCAGAGCTCAGCCATCTCCGTGGGATCAAACTCAGGAAAAATGAACGCCTGCTCTTGGCTTGGTTCCTCTCTGCGGTCACTTTCCCTCCTGTCCATCATCCCAGCAGAGAGCTTGTCACTCACTGGTGTTTTAAGCTGCCGTTTTAGTTTTCCAACTCCTGCTTTAAAGGTTTTCTCACCGTCTCAGGAGGTTTTTTTATGCGGGAATTGGTGGATTTGAGATCTCGAGTTGTGGTTTTTTCAGGACTTCAAAACCATCTGATGCAAAATTGATGACGTGTAAAAAGCAAACATTTTAACACCTACAGAAGCTGTATAATGAAACCTTGTCGGTTTAGAGGATAACTCGGCCATGCACACTTAAAATAGGTGTCAGACATCTGTTATTATAAATAGGGCAGTCACACGAACCATCTGTCATCACTTCATCACACCCTGGAGCCGTGAGGCTGCCTTACCCTCACACAGTTTCAGCTCTGCTGGTTCAGAGGCGTAGCACCAGCAGATTCCCTTCCACTCCAACCCCAATGGTCAAGAAGAGATTTGTGTTAGAAGAGCACCACATAAAGCATCTTGATTGTCTCTTTTTATGTCTGTTATCCAGTCACCTACAGACCAACTACAGTAAAACCTTCCAGAGGGGGAACGTTGACTTCCTGGAAACTCCTGAGACCATCACTACCATGCTTGTTCCTGGTGAGATCATTCGCTGCTCTGATCCATATGGATTTACATCTAAAGGCCAGGTTCACTGAGAAACCGTTCTTACTTCTTTTTTTTTTAATTACGATTGATCAGCCTGAGTTTCATGTCCAGCGTGAACATGAAAATAGTCGTCTACCCTTATTTCCTGTATTAGCAGCCGAGAGAAGGGAGACGAGGAAGCGTTTGGATTAGAAAAACCACTAAATTTTTACGTCACGTTGTCAAATGAACATTTATGGGGTGTTTCTCAATGCCAAGGAACCTTGCCTTGATGTCTTGGCCCCGCCCTGGTTGCCTAGGAGATGTCATCGGGAGCCGCCAAAACGTGTTCCAATGTTCATGTTCTACCGAGGCGTGTGTTCTCCGTTTGTTAGCCGTTTAGCTAGCTGAGCAAGGATACACGGGAGGTGTCTTGTAGCCTAGCCTTGGTAAAAAATTACCCACAATACACCGCGGTATTTTCAAAAAGAAGGCGGATCAGAAGCCGGCAGCTACTTCGGGGACAAACTTCAAGTTTAAAAGTAGGTCAGTTAATTTAAAATGTTTTTTTTTAGGTCCAAAGAAGTTATCTATCGTTGGTTAGTTGCTTAGTAGTTGCAGCTTTGGTTGCTAGCGGGTAGTAACTCACTAATATTTTTAATTTAGTAAACATATACACAATTTATTTATATTGAAACTAATACGTATTAAATATAACGTTATCTCCTGTGTCACGTGACGTTACGTGACCGCCATGGAAGCTGCGGTCACATGATGCAAGTCTGTTCCATTTAACCGTTTTCTTTGACCAAGGAAGGACAGTGTCCTCGTAAGCAAGACATCGCCTCGCAAGGCCATGCGCCTTGCTAAGCACATAAACATAAACATAAACATTGAGAAACCCCCATGGTCTCAACCATCTTGGCTTGTGACAGGGAAGCTAGTAGAAGCTAACTGTTAACATTAGCAACTGCTGAACAAGATGGAACACATTCAGGCTTGTGTTATTTGTGGAGATAAAACATCATTGAAAAGCGAACAGTCAGTCATAGAGTTGTGTTGCTATTAGCCAATCAGAGGCAAGTTGTCCATATATAAGGAAACAAGACTCCAAAATATTCCGTCTGCTGCTCAGCTCTCATCTAGCTCACTTCTAGGTCCTGAAACAGGAGCGCCAGAATGTTTTCCCCAGAGATTGACTCAGAAGGCATTCATTTATACTGAAGACCACTGCAAATGTGTTGAAAAAATCAAGTGAACTTGGTCTTTAGTATTTATCTCAATGACACTGTGAAGCTGTGAAAGTTGGAACCACTCTTCAGTTAAAATGTCTTTGGAAGTCTGAGCTGAAAAGGATGCTCCTAACATAAAATGTTTCAAACAAGCTCTAAAAGAATAAGTTATTTATATTAATTATATCAAATATTTGTCTTGTTGTAAAATTAGATAAAGGCATGAACTGTTTCTTTGTTCGCTCTTCAGCCTCCTGGTGGGTCCTCAACAACAACTGAACGTGGAACGGCATCTTTCACCAATCGTCACAGATGGATGTGAAAGCAAAGCTCTCTCTCTCACTCACTCACTCACTCACTCACTCACTCACTCACTCACTCACTCACTCACTCACTCACACACACACACACACACACACACACACACACACACACACACACACACACACACACACACACACACACACACACACACACACACACACACACACACACACACACACACACACACACACACACACACACACACACACACACACACACACCCCTTGTGAAGTCATGGTGATTAGTATTTATGACCTCTATGTTCCTTCATAGTTTGGTGGTACCTGAAATAGCTGTATTTCCTAAAAGCAATGACATCATCAGACAAAGATCCATCTGGTGATATGACATCATCCCTGTGTTAGCCGTAACATCATCCAGAATAGCTCATGAGGGGTCACTGTTAGGTTAGAGCTATCTCTGCGTGGACATTGAAGTTGGGGGCCTCAGCTTTGTAGATTTTATTTAAGAGAACAAATTTCGATATTTAGTTTTGGTTCTTATTGTTTGTTGGCATGAGGAGACAAATGCGTGTGTGTGAGTGACGGAGACGGGATAAGAGGCACTTAACAAAATATCAACTGTAGCAGCTCCAGCGAGCTCATGAAACCATATTTCTGTAGTTTCTATATTTAATGTGTCAAATTAAGACAAAAGTTCTGAATAAAAGTATGTTGTGTATCTCTCTCTCTGGTCATGTTTAAAATGTATATATATAAATATTTTATGAATAATAAGCAGCAGGAAACAGTTAGAATCCTTCCAGTTAGCCAGTTAGCATAGCATCAGGAGTTTTTGGTTAAGAAGTAAATAAATCAAGCTAGCAAATGTAATTGGGGGGTATAAGTGCGATAATAAAATATTGTTGGTTTGAAATGCAAAGTTTGCATGTTGGAGTTGTTTTAGACCATGAAAACTACCACATTTTGACTTGCTGTAACTGCTAAGAACAGGTGTTGTGTGGAAATATGTTTCCCCTTACCCCTAAACTTTTGATCTGCTTTAGCCTGAACCTCAACAATAAAAACACATTACAGGGGACAGAATTTCACAATTAATGTCTGTCTTTCAGAGTTAGCGTCGTTGAACATTGTGACGAGGGAGCATTTAGTCAAGACAGTTTTGATGGGGGAACACATTTTGAAGGCGAAGTGAAAAGTGAAACTTCCTGTGCGTTTCTCTTTTTAACACTTTGATCTTACGGCTGAAATGTCTCCCAGCCCTCATTAGTGTCTGCAGGAGCGATTTATCTCTAAATTAAACAAATCAGCTGTGTTCGTGATCTAAAACATGCTGGAAACGTGCTGGAACCAGACTGCAGCGTCAGAAAAAACAGCTGATGGGCCGAGTCCAACAGGTTGCAAGTATGATATTCTGGCCACAGAGGGCGGTGGGGTCTGAATGACTTTTCATTAACCATAAAGGGTCATTTTAGCACACACTGGCTCAAGAAAATGATTAAAAAATATGAATAAGTTGTAAAGTATGGCTTTACCATAACATAAGGAGTACATATTCTGTAGGGTGCCACCTGCTGGAGGGGGGGTACTGCAGCAAATCATGAATAAACTAAATAAAAATAAACAAATTGGACCAAACTTAGACTTTATCATAACAAGTCTTGATTATTTTCCTCCTGTATATATGCATAGTCACAGATCAGAATCAGAAGGGTTTTATTGCCATATGTGCGAGATTCACAACATTAGGAAATTGCTGCGGTACTTGGTGCAAGAAAAAATAAATAAGCAAAATTAGAATTAAGAAATAAACACAATGAAATGATCATAATATAGGAAACCAATAATTAGAGAAGCAGCTACTTTATACATGTCAGTGGGGGTCAGTTCAGGTGCAAACACAACACTAGGGCATATGTGTGTATCGTGTATGGATGTACCAATATTAGTCACAACATGATTATCTGAAATGATCTGTTGGTTTAAATGAAATTTTACTTTTAACAAGTTCATCACAACTGGATTTCCGCATAGAGGGACAATAAAAGGGATTTTCTGTTGCTGTAAGTGCATGATTCTGTTGGTAAACAGCACCACCATGTGGAAACTCAGCAGCACTGCATTTTATACAACTAAATTATCGCAAACGTTCAAATAAGTTAGATTTAACCCAGGAAATATTCAAAATATTGATTTTTGTATCACTGACGAATTGAAATTGTACAGAAATGTCATCCTAAACATTTTAGAATTATCTGGATTAATTTTGTTCCTTATTTTTGTCACATTTTATCTGTTTATCATATTTAGTCTGAAATATGAAAAATCACCTTTGCATGTATCAAAAGTACACAGCAGTAAAATGTTGATGTAAACAGTTTTCCATTACAGTGTGATTATCTATTTTAAGACTAAATACATGAGCTGAAAATTAACCTGATTTTATTTTATACGTTTTAGAGTAAACAAAACCGGATATGCTTCAACATTCAGACACACTTTAACTTTTATTCATGGTTTTAGGCTCCTGGTTTGGTGTCATTTGATAAATAATTCCGTACCAGACATCGTTTCCCACTACAATCCTGGTACGCTGAGAAATAAAGAGACCAACATGAGTAGTTTTGGAATTTTATTGATAAATTATCATTTTTAAAAAGACCCACGAACCTTCTTCCATCTCCAACTACTTACATTTTCCAAGTACTGAATTTAAGCTATGTACAAAGTTTTAATATATATATTCTGCTTCATGATCATTATCACATTCAAAACCAGGTTTGGACGGCGCCCACTGTAAGAAGTCAGGACATTGGTAAGAGTTCACCGGAGCAGCGACAAAAGCTCACAGGGAAGAAGAGGCGGGTTTACATTCAAACCCAAAGGCTGCAGGAGCAAAGATGGAAACATCACAACCGTCTGAAACGGAGCTAAACACCACCTCGAGGACACCACGAAGTCAACATGCACAGACGGGTCACGAGTTCCTGGGAGGACTATGAGCATGTCAAGGACCTGAACGGGTTATGGCGGCGACTTAAATGCAGCGAGCACAAACACGCACATAAAAGGAAGTAATTAATACTTTAGTAGAAAGTAAACTTCTGTTGATCTGAACACTGGGCTGCAAAGATGGCACGCGTGGGTATGCAAGGAAAATAAAAAGAAAAAGGATCATTTAGCATTAAAATCATCAAGTAATACTATTTCTGAGAATGCGGGCGAGAACATTACAGTATGCAGGTTCCTGCGGCTGGAGCTGAACTCGCAGCAAAACTCAAAATTGCATAAAAATCGTTGTGCAATGGTTCTGGTCAGTAACGAGAAAATTAGGTTTTTTTTGTCGCTCAGAGCAACTAAGTAATAAACCCAAACAGCGTTTGCGTCAACCATCAAGAAAAACAACAGATCTTCAAGTCCTTGATAACAATTTTTTAATTTCTCCCCAAAAAAACTACCTGGAGTTTAAATATTTGTGCACCAGACTGAACGATGACAGGCAGTGGGTTTGCTCGGCAAGTCAGACACTCCAAAGATCTAACAAACATCTCTAGCTTCTTTAAAGAAACGCCGCCCACACGCGCTGCACCTCGCCAAACGTCACCAGGTGGAAAACCAAATCAGAAACTGGGGGAGGGGCTTTTAAAAAAAGAAGTTTGTCATTCTGGCCGTGCACAGCTTTGTCAGACCGCTCTAGGCGAAGCTATTCTCCGGGTAGCTGACTTTAATGGCGCCCCAGTAGCAGGCTCGTATCAGGCAGATGAGGCCCAGCAGGTAGGCGAACGCCCAGGACACATAGGTGGCGTTATAGCGTCTCGCAAAGTCCCGAGTACCAACCTGAGAGCACACAGGAGAGGAAGCAGATTTCACACACCTGAAGCTTTACCTGCATCTCTAGAAAATAAACATTAATTACAAAAAGCAGCAGAGCTTCGGGCTCCGCCACACCGCCGTAGTGAGTTGGAGTTGGAATAGCAAGCGGTGGTTTATAGCTCGGTACTGGTGACCGATGGCAACTCACGAGCCAACGGTTCGAAACAATACGGTTCAGGACGCTCGCCTTCCTCCCTTCCTCTGGTGAGGGAGTCTGCTCTGAGGCAAAAGAGCTAGTGTCGCCACCAGAATACAGGAAGTGCTGCTTTTCTCTGTGTGTGTGTGTGTGTGTGTGTGTGTGTGTGTGTGTGTGTGTGTGTGTGTGTGTGTGTGTGTGTGTGTGTGTGTGTGTGTGTGTGTGTGTGTGTGTGTGTGTGTGTGTGTGTGTGTGTGTGTGTGTGTGTGTGTGTCTGTGTGTGCGTGTGTGTTTGTGTGTGTGCGTGTGCGTGTGCGTGTGTGTGTGTGTGTGTGTGTGTGTGTGTGTGTGTTAACGGCTTATTTCTCCGATGGAGTCGCCGAGAAGGATGGAAGGTCCATGCCACTCACTGCTAGGGTTGAGCATCGTTCGATTTTGAACGATTCCGATTCCTCGTTTCGATTCCGGTTCCTATCGATTCCCAATTCCGATTCTTTCA